TGAATAGTGTAAACAGGGTCCCAGGAGGGTTGTTTGAAACCACTTCAAAAAACAAATGATGTTCAAGGGCTCCTGGGCCTCCCCGAAGAACAACTATCATATAATTATGTTTTTCTGAGCGGGGTGGTTACAGTTGAACATGCAAATAAAATCATTCGTATCTCTTCATTAAAATGACTTATGCAAAGAACACTTTATTGACATTGTTTAAAATGCAATTTAAAATATCTCCACATTTAGGCATCTTTGTTCTGACAGGCCTATCTAGCAAGTGGCACTAATTAGGGAGGTTTATTAACCTCAGGATATGGCACAGGGAGACTTCTCACTGACTCTGGATGGCCAGGGCACACCAGAGAGCCAAAGGTTCATCTGGAAACAGTTGCAGGGACAGCAGCGCATAAAGCCTCCGGGTGGTGGCTCTTCCTGGGGCAGCCAGACTGCCCAGATGGCCCTTCCAGAGCCAGGAGATGCAGACTTGTCCCTGAGGTGGAGGGTAAAAATAGTCCCGTGTGGGTGGCAGCTGGGCCCAGAGGCACTGGCTTCCCTGTATCTGGAGGCTGGGGGTGGGGGTGGGGCAGACAGTTGACAGGCTCCTCCTTGGGGGTCTAGGATGCCTCTCCCAAGCCCTAGGGGCAGCAGGGTCTTTCCCTAACAAAACAGTACCCCCACCCAAGCCCACATCCACAGTGTTAAGTGTTTGAGCTCTGCAATAACATAGCTAAGAATTTAAATCCTGCCTGTGCTAGTTACCAGCTCTGTGACCTGGGGTGAGATGTGTCTTCTTTCTGAGCCTCTATTTTCTCATCTGTCAAATGGGGTTAATGATTTCTTTCTACAAGGCTTGCTGTGAAGATTAATAGAAATGATAGCTAACTCATTTCACTCTGCAACTTCATTCTTCTGTCCTCCCTTCTAGCAATTGCTCACCTTCTGGCACATTCATGAAGACACTCAAGCAGCCCCATGGAGAAGTCCAAGGGCAAGGGAAAGAACTTCGGTCCCCCCTGCCAACAGCCAATAAGGAACTGAGGCCACCTGTCGACAACGCAGGGAGGGAGTCAGTCCCCTTAGAAGCCTGTCCTGGCTCCCTGGTCAGGCCTTACAGAGGCTGTGACCCTGGCTGACACCTTGATGGCAACCTCATGAGAACTCCTGAGCCACAGCCACCCAACCAGCTTCTTCTGGATTCCTAGCCCCCAGAAACTGTGGGATAATAAATGTCCTTTCTGTATCAGAGTATATGTGACAGAGCAATAAGAAACTACTGACTTACCTTTCAGCATTATTATAAGAATGAAGAGTTAGTACACATCAAAGTGCAACCAGACTCGCTGGGACCAGAGGCTCCAGAAAGGGCAGGGGCAGAAAGCAGAGGCACTTGAAGCTGGCACCAAGTGCAGGAGTGTGACAGACTGAATATGCAAATGGACAACGGCCAGGACATGTATCAAAACAGAACTCTGACCTGAAACCCACAGCAGCAGCCACTCAGGAAGCCAAACAACAGCCCCTGTGGCAATCAGCCCCAAATGGCCAGGACTTGATCATAACTGACAGCTTCCCTAATTTTGTCCCCATGCCAATGTTGGACAAACTAGAGAAAGCCAAATATGTTCCCCTCACCAACCACATGGGTCGCCCCTTTTTTAGTAAGCCCACTTACAGTTCCCCAGGCCAGCAGCCTCCAATCAGGGCACACCTGGAACCATCCTGCCCTTTCCCCTGTAAAGCTGTCTCCTCTTTGAGTCTCTGTGAACTTCAAGTGACCGTGGCTGACTGCTTCACTGTAGCAAGCTCTGAATAAATGCCTTCACTCCTCTCATCTGGGTGGTCTTTATTTCCATTAGCCCAAGTTCTCTCTCTCTCAAAGGAAACATCTTCTCTGCCCTCTTCCCTTCTGCGACCCCAGGTATCAGAGAAGCCAGCTCAGAGATGATGGAAGGGAAGGGGACAGGAATAATTCAGGGTGTCGTTTTGGAACAGGATACATCTGGGCTCGAATTCTAGCTCTGATGATCTTGGGTAAGTCAATTAAACACTGTGAGTCTCTGTTTCCTCACATCAAGGGGCGCTCCCCCTGAAACAAGGGCCCGTGAGAGAATCAGTGAAGTAACGCATTTAACGCACTGAACATATCATAGGTGCTTAGCAGAGGAGGGACCAGCACTGCACCCCCTCCTCAGAGCTCGCTGGAGGGGGCAGGCCCCTGCACTGCTCTCTTACACCCACTCCTTCTCTTTGCAGCAGGCAGCCTGACTTCAGCTGAATGGGAGTCAAGTCTAGGGTTTATCCAAGGTCCAGGATTGCTTTCAGGAGAAGGATGGGCAAAGAACATACCTGAACTTTTCTCTGAAGAAATCCCACGGACCCAAAGCAGAAGACAAAATGTTCAGACCAGCGACCTGCTATCTCCTGGGTGGTCAGGGCAGGAGGACTCCTGCCCGGAAAACTATGCATGCCCTTGGGCTAGGCCAGATTTCCCAGGGCTGAGAAAATGACCCAGGTCATTTCCTAATCTGGGTGTGTGCATGCATCTATGTATGTATTTCTTCATCTTTTGTGTGTGTGTGTGTGTGTGTGTGTGTTTTGTTTGTTTGTTTGTTTGTTTGAGACAGAGCCTCAAGCTGTCCCCCTGGGTAGAGTGCCATGGCATCACAGCTCACAGCAACCTCCAACTCCTGGGCTCAAGCGAGTCTCCTGCCTCCGCCTCCCAAGTAGCTGGGACCACAGGCGCCTGCCACAACACCCGGCTATTTTCTGGCTGCAGCCGTCATTGTTGTTTGGCGGGTCCGGGTTGGGCATTCGAACCTGCCACCTTAGGTGTATATGGCTGGCGCCTTAGCCGGTTGAGCTATAGGCGCTGAGCCTATTTCTTCATCTTTAAAAGGAGAATTATTGAATATATGTGTATTTGTGTGTGTGGGGGGGAAAGTATCTTAGTATTTTCTGCCTCTATAACAATACACCAAAGTGGGCAATTTATAAATAATAGCAATTTATTTTTCACAGTCCTGGGGACGGAGAAGTCCAAAATTAAGCAGCCATCATCTGGTGAAGACCTTCTTTCTATGTAGTGATATGGCAGAAGGGCAAGAGAGAGGAGAGAGAGGAACCCACTCCCGAGATAATGGCATTAATCCACTCACAAGGCAGTGCTCCTCCCCAAACACTCCCCATTAGGTCCCACCACTGCCCAACCCCACCACATTGGGGATCAAGTTATCAACACATGAACTTTGGAGGACACATTCAAATCCCAGCAGGGGGCAGGGGCTCTGTGATGCTTGCTGCTTGCGTCCAGGGGCATCCTGATCTCCTCATGCCAAATTTCCAGCCTCGAATTCAAGTCTCTAGCCAACATCACTTATTGCCTGGAAGCAGGGACTAAGTGCTTTCCTCACTTTCCCACATTAATCAAAGAATAAAAATTAGCACAGGGGTGAGAAACGATACCCCACCCATCAACCCACAGATTTTTGAAATAATGACAATAACTAGGATAAAAGTGACACTCTCCTCCCCACAGGTACTGGTAAACTGGTACAAACAGGTACATTTCTGGAAGGTGAGTTAGTAGGACGTACTTTGTGATTCTGCAGGTCCAGTTTTCAAAATACAATCGAATTTTTAAAAAATCACAGTTTCTGCATGAAGACTTCACTTACGTGGCTCTTTATGATAACATTATTCTGGTGGAAAAAAAAAAAAAAAGACGATTCACATATCCAAAAACAGAAACCAGGGTTAAATAACTTGTCCATACCTTGAAATACTATATGTCGCCAAAAAATGATCAGTAGTTTGAGATCACCAGGGAACTGTTAGAAAGGAGCATTCTAGGGCCCCACCTCACACCTACAGTTTTAGAAACTCTGGCTGAGGCTCAGGATTCTGGGTTTAAACAAACCTTCCAGAAATTCAGAACCACACTTGTAGATGATTGTCACTGGGAACAATAAACTGTTAAATGACAAAAGGTCACACAGCAGCACGTACACAAAGCAGTCTGCATGAGCAGCGCGTCCTCATTGCTAACATAGGCGTATAGAGAGACGCACAAATTAGAATGAGGCCTGGAAGAGTTTGCACCAAGGGGATAATATCCACACTCTGGGTGGTAGGATTATGAGGCTGTAGATTTTTTCCATTTTGCTAATCCATGTTTAACTAGTCTACAATGACTATTGTAGTCTAGTTGTAGACTTTTTGTAAAAAGGAAAAAAAAATACAATAATTTTTTTTATTAAAAAACAAAACAAAACATAAGGCCAGGTTAGGAGTGGGATGTAGGTGAGGTGGCAGAGAGCACTCCTCACCGTGACAGTCTCTAGCCAAGGAAAAGCTGGGAGGCAGGACAGCCTGGGTGACCCAGGGCCACCGCCAAAAGGAGTGGGCAACCCCTCTGATGTCTAGGAAGGTTTACGAGGTCTTAACTACAGAGCGGAGAAGAGATTCACTGCAGACTTTTGTGAGAACCGAACTGCTAAGAGCACCAATTCCTGGAATGAGCACCTTGGGGAGATTTTCTAGCCCGGAACAGATAGCGGACGCCAGGAGGGGGTTGAGCTTCGCCAGCCAAAGGTCAGGGGTTCGCCCGGGTCTCCAGACCCCTTCCGGCCCCGGGACTCCCTGTACCCCGAGCTCCCTGCGGAATTCCTACCCACGGAGGCGCCGCTGGGGACGGCGGGGCGGGGCCGGGCGGTTGCTAGGGGAGGGGCGGCCCGGCGGGCGAGGAAAGGAGCCGGCAAACGCGACGCGCGCTCTGTTCTCCTGCTCCAGCTCCCGCGCCGCCTGTTGCTACTCTGTACCTCCTCTTCTTGCCGGGTGCCCAGGGTAGGTGGCCCGAGAGTGTGCCGGAGCCCAGGCAGCCTCCCGCCTTCCTCCCCTTCCGGCTCACGAGTCCCTCGGACTGCCCGGAGCGTCCCGGAGAGCGCGGACTACAGCGAGCTCCCGGAGCGCGGCGGACTGCGCGCCCAGACCCCAGGCGCCGCACGGCGATGAACGTGACCTTCCTGAACCACAGCGGCTTGGGGGAGGTGGGCGGCGTGGGCGCCAGCTCCGGGGACGTCTTGGGTAATCGCAGCCACGGGCTGGGCACGTGGCTGGGCTGCTGCCCCGGGGGTGCACCGTTGGCTGCCAGCGACGGTGTCCCCGCGGGGCTGGCACCGGATGAGCGCAGCCTGTGGGTGTCGCGCGTGGCGCAGATCGCAGTGCTCTGCGTGCTGTCGCTCACTGTGGTCTTCGGCGTTTTCTTCCTGGGCTGTAACCTCCTCATCAAGTCGGAGAGCATGATCAACTTTCTGGTGGAGGAGCGCCGGCCCTCCAAGGATGTGGGCGCCGCCATCCTGGGGCTCTACTGAACGCCGCCCTGGCTCATCCGCGCCAGCGCCGCCGCAAGGAGAAGGACAAGGGAGACTAGGACTCGCGTCCCCCTCTCTGGGCTCTGCCGCCACCTCCAGGCAGGTAGCTCAAGGGGCAGCGACGTGCCTTGGGGCGTCCAGGCTTGGGGACACAGCGGTACTCGCGGCGACGGCGCGGGAAGGGACTTCCATGCCGGGCTCGGTCCTCTGTGCGCTAAAGCGTTGGAGGGTGGGAGGTTGGGGGATGAGGGTTCTTACCAGTTTTATATATTAAAAAAAAAGTTCTGGGCAGTGGGAGTGGGTATGGAATGCAATCTGGGGCCCAGGTCGCTAGCGTGGGGGTTTTATGTGTCTTTCGATAGGTGTAGTGCAGGGGCGGGTTCCAAGCAGGGTGGAAGGAGCATGGTTGAAGATCTGGAGAATCCGAGTCGCTCAGGCGCTTGTTTGGCCTGATTTTGCAATTGGATAGATATCTTGTAATAAAACTGCAATCTGAGAGCTTCAGGTTTCAACTTCCCACCCGCCCGCGCGGGCATATGCCTGTGTGTGTGTGCGCGCGCGCACGCGAATGCACCCGCGTGTGTTAGGGCGTGTGTTGGCAGGGCAGAGGGAGGGAGGAGTGGCGTGTACCCTAGTGGCGGGCACTTTGAGCCCGCTGGGAAGAATTTAGCCCCCTGTGGGCACACCAGCCTAGGGAGCTTTTCAGCGCTGCACGCTGGGCCAGACCGGAGTGCAGGGATGGTACAGAAACTGTTTTCCATGCCAGCAGAGGAGGCAGGTCCTGTGGGGCATCCAGCTGGTGAGATTAATTAAACCATTGGAAATTTGAGTCTTCTGTGAGATGAAATAAAATCAGTGAGTTGAGTCCAAAAGAAGGAAAACAGTAAAATTAGATCAAGATAGTGAACAAGGAAAATTCAGTTCAGCACAGGGAGAAAATCTAGATCCAGTTAAAAATATTGTAAAGCCAAAAGCCCCACCTAAGGGCTTGTAGGGGGCCACCCGTAGAATAGGTGAGTAGGGGAAGAATTTCCATTATTGCTTCTGGGAGAGGGGGCGCCTTTTTGTGGTGAGGAGGGGCCCAGGGTGAAAATGACCTCCCAATTCAAGTGTCTTCTGGGGTCTTGGAACTTCCCATTACCAGATGCTCCCACCTGCCCCCATACCAGCCACTTCTCAGCAGGTGCTAACTTCTCTTAGCCTGAGGCAGGGAGAACCTTGGCACTCACCAACCAAAGGGAAGGGGTGGCTCTTCCCAAGCTCTGGAGCCAGGGTGTGGGAGGAGAGAAGGCTGGATTTTGTGGCCTCTGCCTACACCCGTTAGGCCTAGTGCCCAGGCCACTCCGGCACACTGATACTTGGAAGACTGGGGGAGTGCACTAATGGGTTTCTCCCTCTCTTCCTGGAGTGGAAGCGAGGGAGGATAAGGAAGAAGATGGCTGAATCCTTAGCTGGCTTGGGGAACAGAAGTGCCATCTCCTGTCTTTGACAGTAGTTCCATTAGGGATAGGGTTGGCAGGGAGCGTATCTCGAAAGTGTCCCTTTCCTCCCCACCCTACTGTCCCAGTCTCAGACCTGGAAGGATTTATTCCATTGGACAGGCCAGGCACTAAGGTCAGAGGCCAGGTGTCTGTGGGGTGAAGCCCCCAAAGTGGAGAGTGTTCTATTGGTGGTCTGATGTAACTTGCGGGGAGCCCAGCCTGATGTGGGGAGAGCAGCCTTTAATGCTTCAGGCGCCAGGACATCTGGCTCGTGTACATAGGTAGTGCAGGTGTCTGCACTACTACTGCAGTCTACTACTGCAGCCCAGCTGCTCCCATGTCCTGGAGAACACCACTCACATGGCAAAACTCCAAATGACTGGAAACGGCCTTCTGGGGGAGCACAGGCTTTGACACTTTGCTGCCCGGTCAAGGTAGAGTGAACACAATGAGCACTTCCCTCTAATAAAATGGATCTGCTGTGAAATGTTGAGAGATGAGAGGAGAGTAATGCAAGAGTTAAATTTTCTGAATTTGCTAAAAAAGGAAAGGCTTTGTGGGGAAGCTTTGCATGATTTTCTCACTATTAAAAAAACACAGTGAAGACATTTCTTTGTCCTGGCATGTGAGTTTGGGCCCCCGGTGCCACGGGGTACAAGTCTGCACACACAGGCACGTGGGCATGCAGGCTCACACCAAGGCAGCGCAGGCCTCAAGGAGGAAAACAGCCAGCTGGAGTGGGGCTCTGGGCAGGGGTGAAGGAGAAAGACCACATCTGTAGCCCCTCTTAGTTCTCCTGGAGCCCTGGAAGCCTGCAGGGTGTTTACTGAGTTGCCTTATATAAACCTCGGGATGGGACGTGAGCAGGAACACACTGAGTTACATAAGATGTGAGCAAATGAGGAGCACTGCTCCAGGGAAGGGCCAGGCTGGATCAGAATCCTGAGTCCCCAGAGGGGAGCATGGAGAAGTGACCTGGTTCTCCGAAGCCCACCCCACCGCAACCCCTGGTTATGGAGAGCTCTTCACAGGATGCACGCATGGGCCAAATCCCAGAGGGCCTTGGGTTCACATGGCCTGGGATCCTGGTCTTTGAAATTTTGGCTGCCCTTCTTCAAGCTCTGTGACATTGGAGAAGTAGCTCAACCTCTCTAAGCCTCAGTTTCCTCATCTACAAAATGGAAGCAATAGGACTCCGAGCTCCCATGACATCATGGGTGTAGAAAGCCAGCACAGTGCCTGGCATTTAATCAATGGAGACAATTGTGCTTATTGTTAGTTTTGTTTACTGTATGAACTCTTCCCCTGTTAAATACAATTGGTTTTCTGGTATGAGATCGCTGGACAAAAAATAGGAACTCACATTTGCAAAGCATTTGCGATTTTCAGAGCCCTTTCTTGAGCATGATAAAAACAGTTATCAAGTGCCTAACGTGCCAAGGAATGAGTTCCCACCCTCATGAAGGGTTCATTACTACTCCCATTTTACAGATGAGGATACTGAGGCTCAAAGAGGTTGCCCGTGGTGACGCAGCTAGGAAGGGCCAGAGCCAGGATTCAAGCCCCGCCTGTGTGGCTGCTGTCTTCACTCTGCTCGATCTTCTTTGCTCCTCACAACACCATGGTGAGCAAGAGAAGCAGATATTCTCCCAGTTCCTGTTTTAAGGAGAGAAAACTAAAGTTCAGTGGACTGGACTTGTCCAAGCTCACTCTTTCCACTAGTATCTACAGCAAATCTCCTGTGGGCTTGGCACTGTGCAGGGTACCAGGGGAGCAAGGGGATGGCAGAGCTGGAGTCCAGCCCCAGAAGTCCCACACTTTGCTCCCCATGGCCACTGCCCAGGGGTACCCGGATCTGTGTGTCTCAAGGTCTAGGTCAAACCCCCACATCCTGTGCTGAGTCGGGGATGGTGTTTCTGGGGTTAGATGTGCCCTCACTAGCAAGATTCCCCTGGTACAGGGACAGGAGAGACATCACAATATTCACATAGGTATTTTCCATGTGCTTGTCTAAGCCAAGCACACACAGAGGGGTACAGGGCTGTGGCTGCTGGGAGTTGCTCTCCCCAGACCGCAACTCATCAGCAGACTAACAGCAGCCTTAAACATGAGCATGAGCGGTGGTATCAGAGGGAAAGAATGAAGCATGAAAAGTGGTGGGCACAGACAAAAAATGGTCCACATCCAGGGTTCCAATTTTGGGGGAAAGTATACGTGCACACGTGCGCACACCCAAACATTTTGTACAAAGGACTTTGGTGGGATGTCTGAGCAGCATCCCTTGAGTGCAACTCATGATCCTCTCTTATTTTAAGATCACACCAGGCATGTGTGGGGTCAGAACACCCAACTGCAGCTCAGTGGGGAGGTGGGGGGAGGGGAGACAGGTGTCCATCAGCTGGGGACAGTGTCCTGAGCAGTATCTGCTTTCCCTTGTGGTAGATGCTCTATTACCTACACTGGAGATTCTGTGACAGGTGCACTCCAGTCTGTGGACAGGGAGAGTTGAATCCACGGGGAACGTTACATTTCAGCAATTGTCAACAATGAAAAACAGTTGGCAAGCCAGCTCTCGTAAGATTGTCTTTGGGTTGTGTGGTTAGGTAATGGGCTTGAGGTCATACAGTCAGCTCATGGGTGGCAGTGGTGACATGCAAACCCAGCCTTACTAAGGCACCACCCTGTGCCAATATTTATTAGGCACGTCCTATGTGACTCTCCTGCGTGCTAAGGAGATAAAGGCAACTCAGTATCTGCTCTTAAGATGCTAATAACATGACTGCGGAGACAATTATCCACACGGGAGATTTAGAGGTGCCATCCTTTGGGCCTTAACTATTTCTTTTTGGGTAGCTAGCACCAGCCTGCAGGGCATGGGGTTCGGGAGGGACCTTGCAGGCCAGCTGTCCACCTGGGTTTCTCCTGGGGCTTGTTTTGCAAGGAAATGCCTGGGCAGAAAGCCCAGGACATGGAACCTGGATGGTGATGGTGATGCAGCCAGATGGACAGAGGCCAACATCTGTCACCAGTGGTCACACTGCGCAGACTGCTGTTCCCTGCTGAGCTGGGCCAGGCTGTGGGAGGGAGGCTGACAGATATGGGATCTGTCTTGTTCTCCAAAGCTGCAGTTCAGCCAGGGCTCCAGAGACCCTGTGCACAGCCTTCACCCTCTCGCTGGGATCCTTTTCTGTCCTAGGTTCTCCTTCTATCTTGGCCAAGAGCTGGGGCTCCTTGCAGACACCTTCCCATTATAGCTGGACCAGAAATCAAGAAAGAAGAGAGAGAAGGGGGAGGCAGAAGGGAGGGGGAAAGGGAGCAAAATGGAGGGAGAGCAGAGAGAAGATGGGATGAAGGAGAAAGAGGGAGGGGAGAGAGCCGAGGAAGAAGCAGATGGCAGAAGCAAAGTAAGGGGGCATAGCCAGCAGTCATGGTCGCCCCTCTTGCCCCAGCCCTGGGGTTCTAGGCACCCATAGCCATCCACCCAATTTGGGTGTCTGCAAGAAAATAAAGAGGTGAAGTAGCAACATTAGGGTGATTATGGTC